ATTTTGGTTTTGATGAGTTGATCACACCTTTCCTCAGCATCAGCCAGAGCATCAGCTTCCTATTAGGGAAACATAGTTTCATTTCATAGTCTCAGGTATTTGCAGCTTGGTGTGTCCAGCAGAGGAAAAGAAATATGGAATTACTCTTTTTTTACACAGTATCAGAGTACGTTTTTATTCTGATTAATTTTTTTGATCTCATTAATTATTCCCTCTTTTTGTTGTTAAAGATAAGATCATAATATCCAATAATACTTTTTTTCTAAGTGATTTGATTACTTTTTTCTGAAAATTAAGAACTGAATATAATTGTGTACAGATTTGGGGTTTGTTTTTGTTTTATCTCTGTAAAATCCTTTGTTGCCAATACTGACTTTGAATAATTTTTTTGTGCCAGATAAATCGATATATTGTCTAGATGCAATTCGTAGTTTCAATTTGAACCTGACATTTTTTTGAATCTGTGAAGACACAAGAGTAATGTTTAAATATTGCCCAATCTTTTGATGACAGAATCACAGAATGAGGCGAGTTGGAAGGGACCCAAAAGGACCATCAAGTCCAACTTTTAGCTCTGCACAGGACCATCCCCAAGAGTCACAGTATTTGATCTTCCAATGGGAATTGGAGGTACACATAGGCCTGCCAGAATGCCGGGGCGGTTTTGTGTCTTCCTGGAATAGTGGTTGCAGAAAGACAGGTGACATTACGTGTATCATAAAAAATGACATAAAGCATATTTGGGCAACTGATTGAAACCAAAATTGTCAGAGAATTGCTCTACAGACTCCGTTAACTGTATATACTAAATCTCCAGTGGTTACAGTTGGACCTTATATTGTGAGCTTTCATGGAGAAACAGACTTATGGGCTTACCATGCTTCAAAAGTCCTTCCCAAGCTGGAACATCATTGTATAATGTTGACACTGAGTGGTCTGAATTTTACCTTCAGTGAGTCATATTAAAATATTTTCTAAGAAAATTTATTGTGTAGCATGAGAGTTATGTACTGTGAAGACACCTGGAAGAAACACAAATAATACTTACAGATTGCACTTGGAGCTGCAGATCATTTTTTTCTTGCATTAGAGAAGCCATTTTCTCCTCCAGCTCCTTCCGCTTTGCCTCAGACTTTGCAAGCTCTTCTTTGGTTTTCTCAAACTCCTCCTTCATGTTGGCCATCTCCTTCTCAGA